AGGAGGCTGAGGCAGGAGAATTGCCTGAACCCAGGAGGCGGAGGTTGCGGTGAGCCGAGATCGCGCCATTGCACTCCAGCCTGGATAACATGAGTGAAACTCCGTCTCAAAAAAAAAAAAAAAAAAGAAAGAAAGAAAGAAAACCAAAAAACAGGATTGTCTGTGATTCCGTAAATATTGAAGCAGATGATGGGTGCGGCAGCTTATTGCACTAATATAGTTTTGATGTTTTTCAAAACAAGAAAAGTTGGCAGTAAAATGTGTATAACATGTCAGTCTTCACGTTTTGGAGGCTTCGTTTTTAAACATCTTGCTATTTGTAAGAGACACTGTATCATTAGCAAGTATCTCAAAGTGTAGCTACATTTTGATAAGATATAGTCATCAGGAATAGATGTGAATTCATATTTTGAATGCTCATCTTGTCATATTTCACTTTTTTGGTAATTTTCTTGTCAGATATGATTAGACTGTAACGTTTACCTTTAATGTAGCTGCAAAGAGCTCATATAGGAAGAGGTGGCAGCTCTGCCATTTTTCTTAGTATATGCTTATATTGCATGTTTATTCTCATTGCTAATTCATGGTTTCTTTGAAGGTAATCTTTTAGGCCAATGGCTGTTTTGCGAGGTTCAGTTTAATTTAGCAGAAATTAAGTAACGTATTCTGTAGTTCCTCATAACCAGGCATCTGATAAACGATATATAATAAAATTCTCAACACTAAACACTCAAGGCAATGGTGCTAAAGAGTGCTGTGGTGCAGTGGCTCAAATGGCTCTGTTGAGATGCAGGTACCAGTCATGACATGCCACCATCTACCATACAGACCAAGTGAGAGTGCTGTGGTCAATCCATATATTACATATTAGCAAGGCTCAATTATTTTGGTTTTAAAGGAAAATGTTTAAGATAGAAGTTCTATTTTTTTCCTGCACCACAATGGAAGAAACTCCCTGGAGCCCAATATGCTGCATAAAATCCATCACTAAGACAACTCCTCACATAGGAGATGAACCAATAGTGAATACGTCCCTCAAATGTTAATTATTAACATATCTTTCAGTGGTTTACTAACCCTGTGACTAAATCCACATCTAAGACACATTTGAGGATCACGTGTGAGGCAGGCATGAGCCATCACCTGCTTTATTGCAAGGACTGGGCCTCCTGGCTCTCCCTGTGTGTCTCCCAGGTGCCTCTGTACAGGTTCTTAGGAACAGGTGCCACATGTTCTGCTCCAACCATTTTGCTTGGCCACTGCTGCCAGCAACCTCAGGAGACTGCTGGGCTTGGCAGCCTGCTCCTGGTGAAGGCTCCTGCTAGGAGCATCCTGGTCTGGGGGCTGGGAGAGGCCAACTTCATTCACAGCCCAACAGAAACCAGATTTGAACTTTTAATTAAACTTTCTTGACAATTTGAGGATAGTTGATGTATTCGTTCCCTGTGGCTGCCATAACAAAGTGCCGCAAACTGGGTGTCTTAAAACAAATTTGTTCATGGTTCCGGAAGCCAGAAGTCTGAGATTAAAGTGTCGGAAGGGCCCTGCTCCCTCTGAAGGCGCTAGGAAAGGACATTTCCTTGCCTCTTTCAGGTTCAGGTAGCCTCAGGAGTTCCTTAGCTTTAGGCAGCCCCACTCAGTGTCTGCCTTGGTCTTCACGTTGACCATCTCTTGTGTGTGTGTGTCTCTTCTCACGAGGACACCAGTCATATCAGATTGGTCTACCCTGCTTCAATATGATCTCAACTAATTACATCGCAATGGCCTATTTCCACAGAAGGTCACATCCTTAAAGGGTAGGACTTCAACATATCTTTTTTTCGGGGGCAATTCAACTCGTAACACTTGAGAACAGTTTACAACTACTGTATAACCCAGATCTGTCCTCAGATGACTTTGCTGAGCCGACCTTCTCTTACACACGCCCTACCTCCATGGACTTAGGGCTGGCTCACTCCACTTTCCCTTTTCTGGGATCACTCCATGCAACTCCACACCTCAGGGTTCAGACCAAACTGACCCCCTACTTCAGAGGGGGCAGTTTTCTTTCCTCCCAATGAAATTGAGAGGATTCACCTTCCCCAGGATGGCTTTCATCCTACAATGCTGAGGACAGAACACCGAAGAAACTCCTCTCCCATCCACAAAGGATCTGCCCCTTTGACTCCAATATGACCACATAATAGAATAACTTAGCTAGAATAACTTAGCATGCACAGTTTGATTTTGAATGATACCAATGTGGGACATAACAGATCAGTCGGATTTGGCTTATGCCAAGATTAAGAGGAGTCTGGTTCTTCTCCATTCTTCCCTCATCAAATTTTTTTAAAAACTAAACCACAAAATTCCTTCAAGTCCACTTTCATTGGGGTCACCTTTTTCCACGTAAAAGAATGTCCTTTTTTTTGTAAAAACAATCATAGCAGTGGTTTTTCACTCTGATCTTAGTTTAACCCAATAGTAGGGGGGAAAAAAGTTTTGTACCTTACCTCTGGTCATTAAAAAATTTGTTGGAACTAAAAATCGGGTATCATTGGGCTTAGAAATGCTCATAGAAAGTTAACAGAAACCCCATAATATCAGACAGTCCAAATTTCAAAGAACTTCCATAGCCACCAGCTGCCAGAGGTGTAGGCCAGCAGAGACCCCTCTCACAATTGACATGCTTAGTACGGGAATGATAAGAATTAACAGAACCAATGCTGTTCTCTCTTTGGGAACTTAGGGAAGACACAGAGTTCTCAGTTTGCAGGGAAAGGGAACAGAAGTGGAAGTACACACAGAGAGAAGGCAGCATGCTGAGGCCTTGAGGAGCAGTTCCAGACAAGCAGGACCTGCTGAGAAGCTGACCGATGGCAGACCTTCCAGCTGCTGCAAAATCAAAGGTGACAAGTTAGCCACTAATAAGGGAGCTACTTTGAATACAAAAGCAAGTCCATTTCTTCCAACCCTGTTCCTGTCTGGTTGCATTCAGGTATTTCCATGTGAATTCAGACCATGAGTCCCTACTATTTTAGCTAATGTGAGCCAGTTATCCTCTCCTCTCCCCACCCTTCCCTTCTTTCTTAAGACAGGGTCTCACTTTGTCACCCAGTGGCACCTTCTCAGCTCACTGTAGCCTCAACCTCCTGGGCTCAAGTGAACCTCCCACCTCAGCCCTCCAAGTAGCTGGGACTACAGGCACCCGCCACCAACGCCTGGCTAATTTTTTTTTTTTTTTGGTAGAAACAGGTTTTCGACATGTTGCCCAGGATAGCTGAGTCATTTCTTAAACCAAACACATTCTCCCCTCTCTGGAATAAAGCAATCTTCTAAACCTTTGGATCTTACGTTATAAGGCTTTAAGACAGCAATTGGAAAACTTCTTGAATGAGTTTGTCCTTTACGACTGTGCTTCACATCTGTATTACCAACATTCTCAGACTAGGGCAGTGCTTTCAAACGTTTTGAGGCAAGCCGCGGCAAGAAACCTTACAATGAATCCCAATACACAAACATATATAGCATATCTATATGTATCTCCACATGCACATACATATACTTAGCCTTACTCGTTTTTTTTTAACTCACCGCCATACTGATGAGGACATACGCAGTTTTCTATTCTGTTCTATTTTTTTTTTTTTAAGGTAACACTAAACGGATTTTATAATGCAAGTTTAGTAGCATCTGTTCAAAAATACTGTGGTGAGGGTATCCAGATCCACAGGATAAAAACATGACCATCTTACAGGAGAGTGCATTTTAAGACCTTTAGTTTTAAAACAGTTAAAATAACTATAGCATAAACCTCAACATTTCATGAAAACATGGAGCTTCTAGACATTGATCACTTCCGGCTGGCTGCCCGGGGCTTCCATCTGCAGCTCCCCAAGAACACGAATGCACACCCCAGCCCCTCCTCCGAGTGCTTCCGTGGGAGAGCTGGAGGGAGTCGTCCTTGGGCTGGATGTTCCAGTTCGACTCCAGTTACTCTAAACCCTCCTACGCTGGAATCCAAGGCCTGCCACTTAGCTTCCCGGGCTTCATGCCTCCCCACCGCTCGCTGGGAAAGAGCGAAGGGCCTCGCCCGGCTTCTGCAGGTCCCCACGGCCAAACAGCCCCGGCAGAACGGGGGCGGGTTCCCGCGCGCGGTGGAGTCTCTACGAACTCGCAAGCGCCAAACCCACCAGCAGCTACCGGCCCTGGCCCGCCTGCCTGCCGATCCCTCAACCGCAGCTGCGTCCCGGCCCGGCTTCCCTTTCCACTGCCCTCTGCTCGGCACCCCTGGGAAGGCTGTGCCCACACCGCGGCCGGACGTGTTCCTGGCACCCGGCTCGGGGCTGCCCGCCGCACCAAGCGCCCCGGCACTGGCGGAGAACCGGCTTCCCGCCCTGGCGCTGTTCCCGGAGGCGCGCCGAGCTCCGCGCGAGGCGAAGCGGACACCAGAACCACGAGGCTCGCCCTGTTTTTAATGAAATCCCTAACACTTTGAATTAACGGAGACTCCATGCCTCCCACAGTCCTTCGGCCGTGGGTGACGCTTAGTCACCACCTACATCCTCAAACACAGACACGAACGCTAACGCGACACAAGAGGGATTTTCAAAAAAGCCCGGAGGGAGGAGCCAGCCCACCCACAGCCCGCCCCGGCCACGCGCCTCGCGCCCTTCACGGGCTCAGCGGGCGCGAACCCGCCAACCGCTCAGCGTTCCGCCAATCACCACGCCTCCCACCTATTGCCCCGCCCTGCGCTCCGCCCCGGCCAATCATCAAGAAGCCACCGTTTGTCTCTCCGCCTCTCCCGCCCGCCCCCAACCGGCTGGAAGTTTGAAGCCTTCAAACCTCGCCGGCGCCCAACGGCGCGGTAGCAGCGCGCTGTATTTTTAGCTCCCCGGCGAGCAGCCCCACCCGCTCCCGCCCCGCCTTTTCGCCTCCCCAATGGGAGACGGAGTTTCCGACACGTCATCGCGCGGCTGTGCAAGAGCCGCCCAATCGGCGCTCGGAGAGAATGGCGTAATTAAAAAGCGGCGGAAGAAGATGGGAGGGTCATGACGCAGCGAGTTTCAGTCGTGACTTTTCCGGGGACATCGCGGCGTCCCCTTTTTTTCCCTTTAAAGTAAAACGTCGCCCCGACGCACCCCCCGCGTATTTCGGGGGGCGGAGGCGGCGGGCCGCGGCGCGCGGAGGGGCGCCGCTGACGCGAGCCGGTCACGTGGGCGTGTTGTGGGGGGAGGGGCGCCGCCGCGCGGTCGGTTCCGGGCGGTTGGGAGCGCGCGAGCGAGCGAGAGGCAGCCGCGCCCGCCGCCGCCCCTGCTCTGTATGCCGCTCTCTCCCGGCGCGGCAGCCGCCGATCGCAGCAGCAGGAGCCGCCGCCGCCGCGGTTGATGTGGTTGGGCCGGGGCTGAGGAGGCCGCCAAGATGCCGCAGTCCAAGTCCCGGAAGATCGCGATCCTGGGCTACCGGTCTGTGGGTGAGTGGCCGGTGGCCGCGGGGCTCCCTCGCGCCGCCCGGGCCGGGGCCTCGCCTGGGCGCCGGGTCGTGCCGGGCCTGCGAAGTTTGGAGCCGGCGCGGCCATGTGGCGGGGCGGGCGGGGGCCGCGCGTTTCGTAACCACCATTTTGAGCGGAGGTGGTGGCGGTCGGGGCGGCGTCCGCGCGGGGCGAGGAGCTGCGGGAGCCGGGCGCCCTCCGCGGGCCGGGCAGGCAGGTGGCGGCGGGGCGGAGGGCGTGGGAGGCGCGGGGCGGGGGCCGCCGAGGAGTGGGGCTCATCTGGGGAAGTGAGGCGGCGCCGGGGAGCCGCGCGGGAGGCTCCCGCGAGGACGGACTTAAACCTGCCTCCCCGCCCTCGCCGTGGGCGCGCGTGACCGGGGCTGGCGGTCTCCCCCACCCCGCCCCCGATGCAAGGAAAAGAAAGTCCGTGGGATTTTAACAAAGGAAGTGTTACCTCGGCTTCCTTCCATCTGCGGTGAAGTTTACCCTTGTAAAGAAAACTGGAGACTTGGAGGACGTTTGGGCACCGAACGCAAGTTTCTACCTGGGAAACCGAGGCGAGCCCGCAAAAGAGGCCCCTCTGGAGGCGCTCGAGATGCTGCCGGCGGCCGGGGTGGGAAGGCAGAGAGAAAGGAATGTCTGCTCTCTCGGTGCCCTATTTTTCCTCAGGTGCCCGCAACCAGGCTGTTGAAGTCATTCCAGTCTTTTTGTTTTCTTTTCTTTCTTCCCCAGAAGGTTGATAGACATTTGAAACGATTCCTAGCAGTCGCCGTATTGCTGAATAAGGTGGCCTCGGGTCGGGTTGCGGGGGCGGACGGGATGCCACAGAGCGAGCGTTTCCTGCCCTGTGAGACAGCAGAGCGATTGAACTTAGCCACGCTTCAGGGTGAGGCTGTATTGTCTCTGACATCCGGAAGCCTGGAGAAATCACGTTCATCTCTTGGTGCCGTTTTGAAGTTACTCTATGGAAGACGTGCACTGGGCCACAGTTGGGGGGATGGGGAGGTGAAAGCGAGGGTTCAGAGGCTCCGGTGATTGCGGAACGGGGTGACAATAACTGCGGTGGAAAGCTTGTACCTGCCTGCCGCTCACTGGATGAACTCCCCTGCTGTGGTTTCCACGGCCGCCGCCAGGCGCTGTGCTCTTTGACCGAGCTCGGCCTCTGCATGCTTACTCATCCTTTTACCACTTCTCTCCGTCGAGGGTAGCGGGGCGGGAGCATCAAGGGCTGAAAGAAGCTTGGCTAGAGATGCGGGGTGCCTAGAGTCGCAGGGGAACTCTTGTGCGATGCAGTGCTGAATCAGAAGGGATGAATAGGTGTGGCAGCTTTAACAGCTGCAGCCAGAAGTAACCACGAATCAAATGAAGGCATTCAAAGTCACCAACTGTTCAAATATCAACATGGAACCTGGAAGCCAACCTTGATTAGCAGCCTGATCCATGCTCTTGTCTCTGCTGTCTTGATTTCCTCCTCTGCATTTTGCGGAGTTGGGACCGCGAAGTATCCTGGCTCTTGGGTGAGCCCTCCGAGTACTTATTGCCAAGTATTTGAAAATAGTAGACCCTGATAATCACGTTATAGGCCACAAGTACCTCGGCTACCTGATTTCAATGCAAGAGAATGATCCAAAGATCTTGACTTACCCTTTTAAAATGTTGAAATGGTAGCTTTAGTCTTGAGTGAGCAGGTCTAGTGTTTCATCACTTTTTTTGCTAAAGAAGTTCCTTGTGTCCAGTTGAAATCCATTCTGTTTTATCTTCCCCCTAATTAGCGTCCTACTGAGGGTGGAGATGTGACAAGCCACCCCTTAGCCTTCTCTTCACAAACATTTATTTTAAACTGCTGCTTGTGGTAACTTAGTCTCCGGTGGGATACAGGGTCACTTTTATTCCCTATTTTCTGTCTTTAGTATTTCTTGTTTCTGCAACGTACTCCACTTCTCCATATTTATATTCAAGCGCAGTCATGATTAAACGATCTTGGAAAGGTTGGGTTGCTTCCAATCTTGCATTTGATTTGATTTTTTTTTTTTTTTTTTTTGAGACGGAGTCCTGCTCTGTCACCCAGGCTGGAGTGCAGTGGCGTGATCTCGGCTCACTGCAACCTCCGCGTCCCGGGCTCAAGCGGTTCTCCTGCCTCAGCCTCCCGAGTAGCTGGCATTACAGGCGTGCACCACTACACCCGGCTAATTTTTGTATTTGTTGTAGAGACGGGGTTTCACCACGTTGGCCAAGCTGGTCTCAAACGCCTGACCTCAGGTGATCTGCCCACCTCAGCCTCCCAAAGTGCTGGGATTACAGGCGTGAGCCGCCACGGTCAGCTCCATTTGATTTTAAAGGGTATTATGAGCCAGGATATTGTGTAGTTTGTGCGGCTTTTCTTAGGTTAAGGAGAATGGGTTTGGCCAGCAGGATTCTAGTAAGCCACCCTTTTGGGAATTACTCGGTACGCTCACTTCTGGGATCTTACTGGCATATTAGCTTGCAAATGGTGCTGTGCCAGAGAAATTTGAGTACATGTTTCTAGATTGTGACATTTTGTGATACTGAGCTGTTTTTTCCTGTATTCTGGGGATAGAGTCACGGAGGAGGCCTCCACACCTTTCTTAGAATGTTCTCTTGATTAAATACATTAAGCCAGTTTGACTAGTAGGACACTTGTCGTTGTGACTTTGTCATGCCACAACTTCATTTTTAAAGTTGCCTTCAGATAAAACAACAAAATGTTTGTTTTACTACTTAGCTTTCAAAAAAAAAAATTTTTTTTTTTTGAGTGTTGACAGAGCTACCAATAGGGAAAATAAAATTCTCAGGTAATTTATACAACTCTCCCTCCCACCCCCTGTACTTTTCCTGTTACTTACAGTGTTAAAACTTTTAAGGACACGTCACCTGGAACTCTGGGAGTCTGGCTTTCAGGGAGTGCTTTGTATTAACTGTTTCCGTGGTAGCCAAAAGTACCGGCTCCCTGACATTCCCTTGTTTCTGCCACAATGGGTAGTCCTGCAGTAGGAAGCAGCTAAACCTAATCAAGTTAAAGTGGTGATGTTAGGAAGACCCTCCAGTCTGGTCTTTCACTGGGATTTTACCTATACAGAGAGCTTTGGTAACCTATTACCATTAGACTGTATTCAAAAGCTGGTTGTCATATATAAGCCTCTTATGTATGGTTAATAAGAGGGATGGCATCACAGGCATGTGAAAGATCATGGGGAAAATGAAGCAACTTTGTGGTTTGGAAGAAGGCAATTCAGCAAAAGTACTCAAATTATTACTTTGTCAAAATGTTTTAGGTAGTATTTAGTTACTTCATGAGGAAAGATGTCATTAAATATTTGGTTGTTCCCAGTAGAATACAATTAAATTGTATTCTGACTTGCTGTTTATTTTTAAGTTAACCTATCATTTGTTGACACTTATTAAACAATTGAAAGGCAAAACAGTATTTGCCATGTATGAAATCTAGTATGTGAAATTATACATGCAGGTGCTTCATATTCTGATGTTGTATACTTGTGAGTGGGGGTAGTCCTGAAGTGGCCACTTTGTATTAAAACTTGAAATTCCTATTTTTCAGACTCATTCATTGTTCTGTACAGGAGCGTAATCAGAATTCAGATTTCTGATTATGACTTTGGTGTCCATATGGGTTATATATCTCTGTACTTCACCCCAAAGAGAAACCCTGCACTCATTAGCAGCCACTCTCCATCCTGCTCCCCCTTATCCCCTAGCAACATTAATCTTTCTGTATCTGTGGATTTACTTACTTTGGCCATTTCGTGTATATGAGAACGTACATACGTGGTCTTTGGGGGCTGGCGTCTTTTACTTAGCATAATATTTTCAAGCTTTGTCCATGTTGTGGCATGTGTTGCTACTTCCTGTTTAGTGATGACTAATATTATGTGAGCATACCACATTTTTTCTATGCGTTTGTCAATTGGATATGTGGGTTGTTTCTATTTTTGGGGCTATTTTTTAGTTATTTACTTTTTTGAGGCAGGTTCTTGCTCTCTTGCCCAGGCTGCAGTGCAGTGGAGTTGTCATGGCCCACTGCAGCCTCAACCTCTTGGACTCAAGTGATCCTTCCGCCTCACCCTCCTGAGTAGCTAGGACTCCAGATGTGTGCCATGACGCCCAGCCAGTTTTTTTATTTTTTGTGGAGAAAGGAGCCTCGCTGTGTTGCCCATACTGATCTTGACCTCAAGCAGTCGTCTCGCCTCAGCCTCCCAGTGTTGGGATTACAGGTGTGAGCCACCACTTGCAGCTCTACTTTCTGGCTACTATGAATAATAATGTTTTGAACATTTCTGTACAAGCTTTTGTGTAGACATTTGTTTTCATTTCTCTTGCGTACATTCCTAGGAGTGGAATTGCTGGGTCATTATGGTTAACTCTGTGCTTAACATTATGAAGAACTGTCAAATTGTTTTCCAAAACAGCTGCTGGTTTTATATTCCCATCAGCAATGTATGAAGGTTTAATTTTCTCCACATTCTTGGCAACACTTGTTACTGTCTTTTTCGTTTTAGCCATCCTAGTGGGTGTGAAGTGGTATCATAGGATTTGCAAATAATTTCTCCTGTCAATGGGTTGTCCTTTTACCTTCCTGATGGTGTCCTTCAGAGCAAAAAGTTGTTAATTTGAAGTTCGATATGTCTATTTTTCTCCTGCCACTTAGCTTTTGGTGTCACATCTTAGGAGCCATTGCCTAATTTAAGTCAGACTGCTAACTGTGAGAATGCAAACTACTGAGTCTTCTTAACATGAATTGCTTGATAGATTTAGAAATATAATCTAATATTTTGAAGGTCTTAGAATACCAGTTTAGTATTTTAATTTTCTTCAATATGTTGGGCTTCTGGTTACAAAAAAGAAAGAAAGAGTTCCCTGTAGGATTGGAGTTTTAAATCTAAACCGGTGCTAGTTTAGAACAGAAGTGCTAGAAAAGCCTTTATATTCTGCTCTTATGGGCAAGT